AATTACATCTAATGACAACATTAAAGAAAAACGATTGAAAACTCTATTTTATGAAACTAATACATCACACAATAATACATCACCATGGAAATTATAATGAATCCACCTATTTCCTCCACAAAGAACGCAACTCTTAAGGATCTTTCTCGGGAAACAAAGTTTCACAGATCTGTATCACCCACGTTCCAGAGAGATATTAGTACTGATCACACTTTCACAATCACCTAGGCGCCACATCACCAGGGCCACCCAAACAGAATCAAAAAGCCATGTGACTCGAGTATCAGACATCCTACCTTGCTGAACCGTACCGACTACATTCTCAGGGCAAAAGGAGGCAATTTGATTGTCAGCACCGACATCGCCGATAGTGACTGATATCCGTCGCTGCCGAATTCTTTTCAGGACTCTGCCCAAATCTGATCAAATTTGAAATATTCGATTCGTAAAGCTAACCTGTTCTTGTCAGAACGCCCTTAAGTTGGAAGTAAACACAACACGCATTCCACAATTTGCTCTCTACCATAAATCATCAAACTGCTGTACAGTTTATCGACCATTTTTTGAAAACTTTCGCTGTGTGATCGAGCTGTGGAATCTTTCAGACGTGGAAACATTTAAAGTAAAGATCATCGAAGAATATGAATCTCGAAAGCAAAAAGTAAACAAATCTAATGCAACCTTTTCTAAATGAAATCATAAGTCTATGAGCGTAAACAATAAAACAAATGTTAGCTTTCAACCAGATTCTTCCACATCACATACAAAGTATAAATGTCGCAAATGCAGCAGATTCAAGTTCAAATCTGCTTGATTGTTGTTGTTAAGCTCAGTTGTCACGTCTGATTATGTATGCTATGTAACGCGCATTTCTTATTTCAAGTAATTTCGAGTGGAATAATTAAGATAGGGGAGAGACGAGCAATTTTGTACAGAGGCAGCTTGAACTTTACAAATTAAAAATGAGATGTCCTTTTATACGATTACAAATTGTAATTTTTGAAATGGCATCTAGAAGCGTTCTGTATTTATATGCCTTTATACTAAACACCGTGATGTGATTTCGTCTTGCATAAACGTTTAAAATTAATCATAAGCGTCTTAAAATTAAATTCTTAAATAATTAACATTTTGTTGTACCGTGTGTTTTTCTTACGTCCATATCTACGTAATAAAGATGAAATATTGGGTTTCTATCGATATTCTGGTAAACAAAATAAGATATCTTTTCAATATGACTGATGAGGTAGATTGGAAAAAATCAAACGGAGCACCTTAGAATATTTCAGTCGCGACTGTCGCGAGCTCCCATAAGGCTCATGTCACATAAACATAAGGCAATAAGAAAATCGTAAGCAATAAGGAAATCGTAATATTTGATTTATTACTTACAATCTTTACCGTGATTAGTCAATTTGCTTACTGCTTACATGTTACTGCCTTACGTTTTTGTATATGTCAAGCTTCAGAGAGTCCTTTGCAACTCATAAATACACATAATAAGGTTACGTTTGATTGTTGACAAGTGTTGATCTACATATTATTAAAAGATTTATAACGCAAGGATAAAAACTCTCTATACTGCAGATTTATAATCGCTTTCGGCAGTATAACAGATACGAATATTGTTTTTTTAATGTCTTTGGACACTCAACCCTTCATGGTCTTTCTGGGTCAAAATGATCGAGTATCGTTTTTTATAACTAAATTCTAAATCTTTTCTACCTAAATTCTAATTATAAGCTAAATTCTAAATCTTTCTGCCTTCGGAAGGGCACTTACCTGTCATTTATTGGAAGTTTGAAGTTTCAATTATTGATAGAGAGGCTTAACTTTTTAATCAGACTGTTAGTATGCGGCTATTCACGCAAAAAGTTTTTTTCTTTGATCAAAATGTCAGCAAATATGACAAACGCGTCGTTTCAATTAAAAAATTCATGATTTTTTTTTGCATTAAATTTAAAAAATAATATATAATACAAATTATTGTTTATGAATTGACTTTGTTCTTTCTTCTTTTTATTTTCCTTGTTGTGTGACCTAACATGGCTTACTTACTATATAAACTGTATTAGTCATGTTTCGTTCGAACTATTGTACAATCAGCTTGCGGTTTTTAACTTGATACTCTTTAGTGATAATAAATTTTAATTGTTTTTGATGCAATATCGAGACAAATTCCTTCTATGTCTTGAGGTGAACCACCAGTTTTTTAATGTTAATTTGTAACTTGTTGGATAGAATAGTTCTGAAATATTTGTAATATAATTGAGTTAATGTTTCGATTAGACAACATCAAATCTATTAATCTGATGATGCTTTTTTCTTGAACATGAAGAAATCGATATTTCGAAATTGTATTGCTTAGGATGATTCCAAAGTGAACTGAAACGTACTATTTTTTTAAATAAAAATTCTATTTCCTAGAATGAAAATTCTATTTTTTGGAATAAAGATTTAAGATTGCGTACTAACTACCACGCTAACTCTCATTCGCCCAAATTTTTTTGGATTTTTTATTGTTGCAAAAACAAGCAAGATTTTGTCCTTCAAGTAAAGGTAAAAAAAAACGATCAGGAAAGCATGTCGTGTCTATAACC